CGGTGGGAGCGGTGGGAGCGGTGGGAGCGGTGGGAGCGTGGGAGCGGTGGGAGCGGTGGAGCGGTGGGAGCGGTGGGAGCGGTGGGGAGCGGTGGGAGCGGTGGGAGCGGTGGGAGCGGTGGGAGCGGTGGGAGCGGTGGGAGCGGTGGGAGCGGTGGGAGCGGTGGGAGCGGTGGGAGCGGTGGGACGCGGTGGGAGCGGTGGGAGCGGTGGGAGCGGTGGGAGCGGTGGGAGCGGTGGGAGCGGTGGGAGCGGTGGGAGCGGTGGGAGCGGTGGGAGCGGTGGGAGCGGTGGGAGCGGTGGGAGCGGTGGGAGCGGTGGGAGCGGTGGGAGCGGTGGGAGCGGTGGGAGCGGTGGGAGCGGTGGGAGCGGTGGGAGCGGTGGGAGCGGTGGGAGCGGTGGGAGCGGTGGGAGCGGTGGGAGCGGTGGGAGCGGTGGGAGCGGTGGGAGCGGTGGGAGCGGTGGGAGCGGTGGGAGCGGTGGGAGCGGTGGGAGCGGTGGGAGCGGTGGGAGCGGTGGGAGCGGTGGGAGCGGTGGGAGCGGTGGGAGCGGTGGGAGCGGTGGGAGCGGTGGGAGCGGTGGGAGCGGTGGGAGCGGTGGGAGCGGTGGGAGCGGTGGGAGCGGTGGGAGCGGTGGGAGCGGTGGGAGCGGTGGGAGCGGTGGGAGCGGTGGGAGCGGTGGGAGCGGTGGGAGCGGTGGGAGCGGTGGGAGCGGTGGGAGCGGTGGGAGCGGTGGGAGCGGTGGGAGCGGTGGGAGCGGTGGGAGCGGTGGGAGCGGTGGGAAGCGGTGGGAGCGGTGGGAGCGGTGGAGCGGTGGGAGCGGTGGGAGCGGTGGGAGCGGTGGGAGCGTGGGAGCGGTGGGAGCGGTGGGAGCGGTGGGGCGGTGGGAGCGGTGGGAGCGGTGGGAGCGGTGGGAGCGGTGGGAGCGGTGGGAGCGGTGGGAGCGGTTGGGAGCGGTGGGAGCGGTGGGAGCGGTGGGAGCGGTGGAGCGGTGGGAGCGGTGGGAGCGGTGGGGAGCGGTGGGAGCGGTGGGAGCGGTGGGAGCGGTGGGGAGCGGTGGGAGCGGTGGGAGCGTGGGAGCGGTGGGAGCGGTGGGAGCGGTGGGAGCGGTGGGAGCGGTGGGAGCGGTGGACGGTGGGAGCGGTGGGAGCGGTGGGAGCGGTGGGAGCGGTGGGAGCGGGGGGAGCGGTGGGAGCGGTGGGAGCGGTGGGAGCGGTGGGAGCGGTTGGGAGCGGTGGGAGCGGTGGGACGGTGGGAGCGTGGGAGCGGGGGAGCGGTGGGAGCGGTGGGAGCGGTGGGAGCGGTGGGAGCGGTGGGAGCGTGGGAGCGGTGGGAGCGGTGGGAGCGGTGGGAGCGGTGGGAGCGGTGGGAGCGGGTGGGAGCGGTGGGAGCGGTGGAGCGGTGGGAGCGGTGGGAGCGGTGGGAGCGGTGGGGAGCGGTGGGAGCGGTGGGAGCGGTGGGAGCGGTGGGAGCGGTGGGAGCGGTGGGAGCGGTGGGAGCGGTGGGAGCGGTGGGAGCGGTGGGAGCGGTGGGAGCGGTGGGAGCGGTGGGAGCGGTGGGAGCGGTGGGAGCGGTGGGAGCGGTGGGAGCGGTGGGAGCGGTGGGAGCGGTGGGAGCGGTGGGAGCGGTGGGAGCGGTGGGAGCGGTGGGAGCGGTGGGAGCGGTGGGAGCGGTGGGAGCGGTGGGAGCGGTGGGAGCGGTGGGAGCGGTGGGAGCGGTGGGAGCGGTGGGAGCGGTGGGAGCGGTGGGAGCGGTGGGAGCGGTGGGAGCGGTGGAGTCGGTGGGAGCGGTGGGGAGCGGTGGGAGCGGTGGGAGCGGTGGAGCGGTGGGAGCGGTGGGAGCGGTGGGAGCGGTGGGAGCGGTGGGAGCGGTGGGAGCGGTGGGAGCGGTGGGAGCGGTGGGAGCGGTGGGAGCGGTGGGAGCGGTGGGAGCGGTGGGAGCGGTGGGAGCGGTGGGAGCGGTGGGAGCGGTGGGAGCGGTGGGAGCGGTGGGAGCGGTGGGAGCGGTGGGAGCGGTGGGAGCGGTGGGAGCGGTGGGAGCGGTGGGAGCGGTGGGAGCGGTGGGAGCGGTGGGAGCGGTGGGAGCGGTGGGAGCGGTGGGAGCGGTGGGAGCGGTGGGAGCGGTGGGAGCGGTGGGAGCGGTGGGAGCGGTGGGAGCGGTGGGAGCGGTGGGAGCGGTGGGAGCGGTGGGAGCGGTGGGAGCGGTGGGAGCGGTGGGAGCGGTGGGAGCGGTGGGAGCGGTGGGAGCGGTGGGAGCGGTGGGAGCGGTGGGAGCGGTGGGAGCGGTGGGAGCGGTGGGAGCGGTGGGAGCGGTGGGAGCGGTGGGAGCGGTGGGAGCGGTGGGAGCGGTGGGAGCGGTGGGAGCGGTGGGAGCGGTGGGAGCGGTGGGAGCGGTGGGAGCGGTGGGAGCGGTGGGAGCGGTGGGAGCGGTGGGAGCGGTGGGAGCGGTGGGAGCGGTGGGAGCGGTGGGAGCGGTGGGAGCGGTGGGAGCGGTGGGAGCGGTGGGAGCGGTGGGAGCGGTGGGAGCGGTGGGAGCGGTGGGAGCGGTGGGAGCGGTGGGAGCGGTGGGAGCGGTGGGAGCGGTGGGAGCGGTGGGAGCGGTGGGAGCGGTGGGAGCGGTGGGAGCGGTGGGAGCGGTGGGAGCGGTGGGAGCGGTGGGAGCGGTGGGAGCGGTGGGAGCGGTGGGAGCGGTGGGAGCGGTGGGAGCGGTGGGAGCGGTGGGAGCGGTGGGAGCGGTGGGAGCGGTGGGAGCGGTGGGAGCGGTGGGAGCGGTGGGAGCGGTGGGAGCGGTGGGAGCGGTGGGAGCGGTGGGAGCGGTGGGAGCGGTGGGAGCGGTGGGAGCGGTGGGAGCGGTGGGAGCGGTGGGAGCGGTGGGAGCGGTGGGAGCGGTGGGAGCGGTGGGAGCGGTGGGAGCGGTGGGAGCGGTGGGAGCGGTGGGAGCGGTGGGAGCGGTGGGAGCGGTGGGAGCGGTGGGAGCGGTGGGAGCGGTGGGAGCGGTGGGAGCGGTGGGAGCGGTGGGAGCGGTGGGAGCGGTGGGAGCGGTGGGAGCGGTGGGAGCGGTGGGAGCGGTGGGAGCGGTGGGAGCGGTGGGAGCGGTGGGAGCGGTGGGAGCGGTGGGAGCGGTGGGAGCGGTGGGAGCGGTGGGAGCGGTGGGAGCGGTGGGAGCGGTGGGAGCGGTGGGAGCGGTGGGAGCGGTGGGAGCGGTGGGAGCGGTGGGAGCGGTGGGAGCGGTGGGAGCGGTGGGAGCGGTGGGAGCGGTGGGAGCGGTGGGAGCGGTGGGAGCGGTGGGAGCGGTGGGAGCGGTGGGAGCGGTGGGAGCGGTGGGAGCGGTGGGAGCGGTGGGAGCGGTGGGAGCGGTGGGAGCGGTGGGAGCGGTGGGAGCGGTGGGAGCGGTGGGAGCGGTGGGAGCGGTGGGAGCGGTGGGAGCGGTGGGGAGCGGTGGGAGCGGTGGGAGCGGTGGGAGCGGTGGGAGCGGTGGGAGCGGTGGAGCGTGGGAGCGGTGGGAGCGGTGGGAGCGGTGGGAGCGGTGGGAGCGGTGGGAGCGGTGGGAGCGGTGGGAGCGGTTGGGAGCGGTGGGAGCGGTGGGAGGCGGTGGGAGCGGTGGGAGCGGTGGGAGCGGTGGGAGCGGTGGGAGCGGTGGGAGCGGTGGGAGCGGTGGGAGCGGTGGGAGCGGTGGGAGCGGTGGGAGCGGTGGGAGCGGTGGGAGCGGTGGGAGCGGTGGGAGCGGTGGGAGCGGTGGGAGCGGTGGGAGCGGTGGGAGCGGTGGGAAGCGGTGGGAGTCGGTGGGAGCGGTGGGAGCGGTGGGAGCGTGGGAGCGGTGGGAGCGGTGGGAGCGGTGGGAGCGGGGAGGGTGGAGCGGTGGAGCGGTGGGAGCGGTGGGAGCGGTGGGAGCGGTGGGAGCGGTGGGAGCGGTGGGAGCGGTGGGAGCGGTGGGAGCGGTGGGACATGGAGGCGGTGGGAGCGGTGGGAGCGGTGGGAGCGGTGGGAGCGGTGGGAGCGGTGGGAGCGGTGGGAGCGGTGGGAGCGGTGGGAGCGGTGGGAGCGGTGGGAGCGGTGGGAGCCGGTGGGAGCGGTGGGAGCGGTGGGAGCGGTGGAGCGGTGGGAGCGGTGGGAGCGGTGGGAGCGGTGGGAGCGGTGGGAGCGGTGGGAGCGGTGGGAGCGGTGGGAGCGGTGGGAGCGGTGGGAGCGGTGGGAGCGGTGGGAGCGGTGGGAGCGGTGGGAGCGGTGGGAGCGGTGGGAGCGGTGGGGAGCGGTGGGAGGCGGTGGGAGCGGTGGGAGGCGGTGGGAGCGGTGGGAGCGGTGGGAGCGGTGGGAGCGGTGGGAGCGGTGGGAGCGGTGGAGCGGTGGGAGCGTGGGAGCGGTGGGAGCGGTGGGAGCGGTGGGGAGCGGTGGGAGCGGTGGGAGCGGTGGGAGCGGTGGGAGCGGTGGGAGCGGTGGGAGCGGTGGGAGCGGTGGGAGCGGTGGGAGCGGTGGGAGCGGTGGGAGCGGTGGGAGCGGTGGGAGCGGTGGGAGCGGTGGGAGCGGTGGGAGCGGTGGGAGCGGTGGGAGCGGTGGGAGCGGTGGGAGCGGTGGGAGCGGTGGGAGCGGTGGGAGCGGTGGGAGCGGTGGGAGCGGTGGGAGCGGTGGGAGCGGTGGGAGCGGTGGGAGCGGTGGGAGCGGTGGGAGCGGTGGGAGCGGTGGGAGCGGTGGGAGCGGTGGGAGCGGTGGGAGCGGTGGGAGCGGTGGGAGCGGTGGGAGCGGTGGGAGCGGTGGGAGCGGTGGGAGCGGTGGGAGCGGTGGGAGCGGTGGGAGCGGTGGGAGCGGTGGGAGCGGTGGGAGCGGTGGGAGCGGTGGGAGCGGTGGGAGCGGTGGGAGCGGTGGGAGCGGTGGGAGCGGTGGGAGCGGTGGGAGCGGTGGGAGCGGTGGGAGCGGTGGGAGCGGTGGGAGCGGTGGGAGCGGTGGGAGCGGTGGGAGCGGTGGGAGCGGTGGGAATGGGGAAGTGGAACATGGTGCCAACGTGGACATGCTTATGCCCGAGCTTCTTCCAGATGGCGCGCTGCGGTTGGCCGGGGAGATCTGCAGCAGGATGGTGGCAGCAGGAGGTTGCTCACAGCTCGTGGAGACGTACAGGTGGGATGACGTACAGGTGGGATGACGTACAGGTGGGATGGCGTACAGGTGGGATGGCGTACAGGTGGGATGGCGTACAGGTGGGATGGCGTACAGGTGGGATGGCGTACAGGTGGGATGGCGTACAGGTGGGATGGCGTACAGGTGAGATGACATGACAAGATGACAGTAGGACACTCTGATGCTATGACACAACATACAAGGTTTGTCTTTCTTTGCTTCAGTTTAGCATGGATTCAGACAGACAGGTGATTAGGAGTTGACAGAGGTGGCATCATTCACTGACTAAGATACCCACGTTTGACCACATCCCACATATGAACCGATTCTGCTGCCACCACTGCTGCTGCTGCTTCTTCTGCTGATTACACACTGTCACTTCTCGTCCCTTCCGCCCTGCTTCCAGGAAAGTACGGGGAGGCTTCCTGAAGCAGGCAGTTGAGTCGCTGAACAGCCACCTGGCTGGCGGGGCGGTGGCAACAGCAGTGGGCGGAATGGGGTGGAGCGACCTGGAGCTCACCAGCAAGCAGTGGGCTCAGCACATGTACCTTCTGGTGAGAGGCATGAAGGAGGTATGAGAGGCATGAAGGAGGTATGAGAGGCATGAAGGAGGTATGAGAGGCATGAAGGAGGTATGAGAGGCATGAAGGAGGTATGAGAGGGGTGAGAGAGGCATGAGAGGGGCGTGGTGTGGGGCATGGAGCGGCAGCGCCTGAAGGACATCCTCTCCCCATCCACCCCCCCCACCACTCCCCTCTCCCCCATACCCACCGCTCCTCTCCTCTCTCTCCTCTCCCCCTTTTCCTATCCTCTTCTAACCCTCCCATTGCAGGTGGGCGTGGTGTGGGGCATGGAACGGCAGTGCCTCGAGGACATCCTCCCCCCATCCATCCCCGCCCATACCCCCCTCCTTCGCACCCTCCTCTCTTCCCTCCTCCTCGACGGCCATGTCATCTCCTCGCTGCACTCTCTCGCCCAATCAGCTGCCGCCATCTGTCGCCGTGGGCTGCCTCAGCAGCTGTTCTCGCTGCTGGAGATGCTGCAGGCGCTGCAGGAGGTGCTGCCTGAGGTAGGTCATCTGGGGTAGGGTCATCTGGGGTAGGGTCATCTGAAGTCCGAGGACTCCCTGGCATTGGGTCTCTCACACTCCCAGTCCCTCTCTCACGCTTTCCCCCCATGGCATGAATCATCAGCTGGAGGAGCACCTTTGCTACGTGAGCCTCTATACTGAATGGTGCTCGTTACAGTCACTCTCGCTCACCCCGCTCCCCTGCCCCTGCTCCCCCCTTCTCCCTGCTCCACGTCTTCCCCACTGTCCCCCTCCGCCATAGCTGCAGGAGGACCTTTGCATCGTGGCCCTTCAATCAGAGTGGCGCTCGTTACAGTCACTCCAGCTCACAATCGTCTCTGCCCATGCTCCCCCCTTCTCCTTCCTCCACAGCTGCAGGAGGACCTTTGCAGCGTGGGCCTGCACTCAGAGTGGCGCTCGTTACAGTCACTCCCGCTCACCCTCTCCCTCGCTTCGCTACAGTCACTGCAGGCCATGCACAGCAGCATCGTTCGAGCCGGTACCCTCCCCACCCCAGAGGGGAGTCCAGGGGGGGGAGGAGAGAGAGCAGGGGAGAGAGGAGGGGAGAGAGGAGGGGAGAGAGGAGGGAACGAGGAAGAGGGGGAGCGGGGTGGCACGCCTAGGGATGGCAGAAAGAGTAAGTCAGCTATGGCGTCAAGTGCTACAGCTAACAGCCCGAGAGAAAGAGCTGCAGCATCGAGCCCCAGGTTCGGCGCCACAGCCGCCAGCCCCAAGCCCAGGCCCAGCGTTGCAGTCCCTGGCAGCACCAGTCCACCGCATGGCGCTACAGCCGCTAGCCCCCGTGTTGCTGGTGCTACAGCTTCCAGCCCAAGATGGGGCGCTACAGCCGCTTTAGGCGCTACAGCCGGCCTGGGTGCTACACCTGCTAGCCCAAGGTGGGGTGCTGCAGCAGCCCTGGGCGCTACAGCCGCGTTCAGCGCTACAGCCGCGGCTCTCGTGAGCCCGAGAGTGCGTGGGGCAGTCAGGGCGCTCACTCGCCGGGCCTCAGACGCGTCAGTGCTGGCCAATAGCGACGCGCCAGATGGCGGAAGGGCGGCAGCGCCAGCTGGAGGCGGCGTGGACCCGATCACAAGCTACGTGTGTAACTTCATACGAAGCTTCCTCTCCCCGTGAGTGCTGTTTCCTCTCCCCGTGAATGCTGTTTCCTCTCCCTGTGAGTGCTGCCTGCACGTTCATCAATAATTTTTGGAGGCTTTCAATAACCACTCTCCCCTCCCATTCCCATCTTTTCAGGTCAGGCCGTCGCAACTATGCTGCTACCTTGGCAACTGCCTGTACCCTTATCAACCGCAGCAGCCGCATGCCTCCCTCCCCATCCTCCTCCTCCCCCTCCTGCTCCTCCCATCAACACACATCAGCAGCAGAGGCAGCAGCAGAGGTAGCAACAGAGGCAGCAGCAGAGGCAGCAGCACGTAAGGCTCTGCATGAGACAAGAGCAGCATCATTGGCAGGGGGGAGGGGAGGAGGAGAGAGTGGGAAGGGGGCAGGTGGAAGGAAAACCCCACCAAGGCTAAGTCTAGATAGCAATACAGCAGGAGAGAGAGGAGCAGGAGGGGTATTCGAGGGTGTGCCGGGGGGAGGGAGTGAGAGAGTGAGTGTGGAGCTGCTGGTGGGTGTGTTGGTGGTCTCGCTGAGGGAGTATTTGGATAAGAGAGCAGCTTATATCGAGGATCCAGCTATGAGAGAGCTTTACCAGATGAACAATCTACACTACCTTATGCAGTCCATGTAAGTCGTTCTCTGCAACTGCATGTGCATGTGAGTAATTTTCTGCATTTCTCTTTTTGCGTATTTCTCCCTTGTCACATGTTCTCCTTCTGTATACTTGTTCTCTTTTTACCTATCCCAGGAACTCGTGGGGAGGGTGGAGGCAGGGGGGACTCCAGCAGGCGTTTGCTGATGCCAAGGGGTAATGCCTCATGCCTCATGCCTCATGCCTCATGCCAGGTTATGAAGGTTATGTGGTGCACCTGGCTTGGGAATTTTCTGACCGCTTAAAGTTCAACTTTCACTAATGCAATTTCTTGAGTTCGACTTTTGCTACTGTATCACGGACATGAAAGATGAGAATGCCTCTGCAATCACTTTGCATAATAACTCATTACAATCACACCCACTACAGGAACGGCAGGCTGGACCTGGCTCTAGCCATCTCCACGTTCATCGATGGGAGCACCCTTCAGAAGCATGTGGCTGCCTTCCAGACTTGTGCTCTTAGCAAGGTGAGTGTGTGAGTGAGAGTCCCCCGGGTTTGGCGAGTAGGCATGTCTTGACTCCCACTTGACGCTCATCGATGGAGAAATAGATTCGACCCAGATCAAACAGACCAATCTCGTCCTAATCTTCACTATTCTGTAGGTGCCTTGGCTAGGTAGGGATCAAGTAAACAAGACATTATTATTCCCAACTGAGCGTACGCATTTCGGCATGGTGGCCTTTATCAGCGCTCTCAGGACATCAAGAAAATACTACCCCTTATCTACTCCCGTCTCTCTTGCGTAACACTCAACCAACAACTGAAATCCAGTGCGGCTCGTTCTGTGCGGCTCGCTAGCTGGCTCACAATACAATTCAGCATGCAGAGGTTGTAGGGATGAATTCAATCCCATCACGTGCTGATGTATCACCGTTTTTTTACTTTGCATTTACCAAAAGGTTACGTAACCTTTTTGGTAAACGCCAACACACTAAAAATCGAGGGAGGGGAATGTCAGGCTGAATCTGATTTTTGAGAATTCTCAAAAACCAGATTCATCGATGGGAGTATCCTTCAGAAGCACGTGGCTTCCTTCCTGACCTGCGCCCTCAGCAAGGTGTGTCCAAAGTTCTGTGACTTTTGTCAGTTCCCAAAAGGACAAAAGCCACCTCAGCCGAGCTGCCTTCCAGACGTGCGCTCTCAGCAAGGTGGATCCACACCTTAAAGTCCTCTTTTTCTGTTTTCCAGGTAGTTTCAGCCATGTCAGACCGCCCTCATCCGTCCGTTCCACTCTCTTCCAGCATCGTCCAAGCCCAATCCATCACCTTCCCCTCTCTTCCTCTCCCATCTTTCTCTTCTCTTGGAAAATATTAGCCATGTCAGAGCGTTCTCGTCCAAACTGCCCTCTTTCACCCCCTTTCCCTCCCTTTCACTCCCTTTCACTCCCAACCCCACCCTCCTTCCTCTTCGCCAGGCAATAGCAGCCATGTCAGACCGCCCACGTCCGCTAGACTTTGTCCCTGAGTGCACCAAGCCTGCATCGTCCCTTTGGCCCTTCTCCCACTCGGATGGGGGTGATCACGAGGTGCTGGCTATGAGCGAGCTACTCAGGTGAGGCCTTTGTGTGAGTTACGAGCTTAGATGCGTGCATCTTCGTATCTCACTAGAGGATTCCAAGGCGTTATTCCCTCCTCGCATCCCTCTTGGTCTTCTCCCACACGGATGGGGGCGATCACGAGGTGTTAGCTATGAGCGAGCTCCTCAGGTGAGGATGGGATGGGGCGCCGAAGGACAATGTAAGTGCAGATGTGAGTGCATGCGATGGGGGCGATCACGAGGTGTTAGCTATGAGCGAGCTCCTCAGGCGAGGATGGGATGGGGCGCCGAAGGACAATGTAAGTGCAGATGTGAGTGCATGCGATGGGGGCGATCACGAGGTGTTAGCTATGAGCGAGCTCCTCAGGTGAGGATGGGATGGGGCGCCGAAGGACAATGTAAGTGCAGATGTGAGTGCATGCGATGGGGGCGATCACGAGGTGTTAGCTATGAGCGAGCTCCTCAGGTGAGGATGGGATGGGGCGCCGAAGGACAATGTAAGTGCAGATGTGAGTGCATGCGATGGGGGCGATCACGAGGTGCTGGCCATGAGCGAGCTGCTCAGGTGCGACAGGGCTGGGTTTGAGTAGAAACTCGATTGCTTTTTGTCCCAAACAAGGCATCTTCACTTCTAAGGGCGTTAGTACCTAAAGCCCTTCTCACACGTGTATGGGGGCAATCACAAGGTGCTGGGCCATAGTATCTCACCACGTCTCATCACTCTGCACCACTGTTTACCCATTGCCATACCATACCACGACTCACGGCAGGCTGAGGGCGTTCAACAGGGCGATGGAGGAGCTGGTGGAGGCTCAGAAGCGGTGGGCCATAGTGTCTTACCACATCTCATCATCTTTACCCATTTCCACGCCATGGCATGCATGGCAGGCTGAGGGCGTTCAACAGGGCGATGGAGGAGCTGGTGGAGGCTCAGAAGCGGTGGGCCATCCCGGATGCTGCGCTGCGACTGCGTGTCTGCACCGCCTGGGCTGCTTGCCTCAAAGATAGATACCGCAAGCTGCTGCAGCCACGCTGGTACGTGTTCTGTTTTACAGTTACCCCAATCCACTGCTGCCCTGGGGTATGTGTGCTAGTAGTGAGTGTGCATCTGCACCGCCTGGGCTGCTTGCGTCAACGACCGATACCGCAAGCTGCTGCAGCCACGCTGGTACGTGCTGGTTTTATTTGCGGTTGATGGTACTGTGTCTGTCATCCATTTTGATGCAATAGGCGAGTTTACTTGCGTCAGTGGAAGGCCAATTATCCGAGGGCGATTTGTGAACAAATCATGCACATATGCTCCTGTCCTTTTATTTCACAGGGATGATTTAATCACATCCAAACACTACATGCATACACCCGAGAGCTTGGAGTTGATGATTATGGAAGATTTCTTCCATTAGCTTCTAGGATAGCGTGCTAGCTGCTGTCCTGAACCTCCTTATAAAAACTGTAGTTGTCATGCTTGCTGGACTAATGTATAATAAGGTTATATAGAAAGGCTCCCGTTCTCAATGGTGTAGGTGTTCTACTGTCGATCAGCCAGGGCAGCACTTCGACGGTCACCGCACATTTGTCGGCGGGCAGTTTGTCGGAAATGCCCGTTTGGCGCAACGATTTGGATGCAAGGCCTCTCTAGGATGCAACGATTTGGAGGCATCTGGGATTCTTTCCGGGTGGTATTCTCTCTAGGGCGAATTGACGCATTTCTTTTCGTGAACAAAACAGCCCGCCCATTTCACCTCCACCCTCGCTCGTGCTCCCCCTTTCTGCCGCCATGTCGGCCAGAGCAGAAAGAAAACCCTTCCCTGACCGACCAGCCACATCTCGTCCCTTTCCAATCCATGCCCCAGCCCTAACTCCACCAGCAACGCCAAGCTAAGGGAGGCCAAACTCGAACAGCACCAAAGCTGCTTCGTTCCAGCTTGTTCTGATTTGTTTGTTTCCTCTCTGTTGCCCTCGGGTCTGTCAATCGCGCCGAATGCGTTCTTCCCTCTCCGCAGCGCTGCCCGCGCGACCCTTGCTGACCGCATGTAACGTCGTGACCTGTAGAATGGCGACTCGAACCACGCAATCCTTTCCTCTCTCGTGCGACGCGAACGTTGCTCAATGCAGGTGGTACTCGGCTCGGCGGCACTGGGAGCGACAAAAATCATAGCATCAGATCTTAGAAGCGCATAGTACACTGGCAGTGCAGTGCGGCTGGGTGCTAGCCGCCACCAGAGACGCTTGGACTTAATCAGCAGCGCAACCGTCGCGCAGCGCATAGCATCTGAGCAGCGCATAGTAGCACTGGCAGTGCGGCGCGCTGAAGGTTGTTCTTGCCCTCCACTATAAACGGGACAGCCTGCGATGATCGTACGTTGTCGGAACGAGTTTTCAACCTACTCCACCAAATTCTAGAAATCAGAAAATAACACTTCGCTCTGATTTCAGGAAGTTCCTGGTTTCTCGAAACTTTCAGCCCACTCCGATTGAACCGGCTACTTTCAGTGGAAGAGGGAGTCCAAAACCCGCAGCTCGAAACTGGAGGAAGAAAATAAGTATTCCGCACCATCTAGATAATTAACTCCGTTTCGCGTTCATGGAAAGACGGGTTCGTATCGTCGCGGTTCTCGCAGCTCTCCTATGTCTAGCGAGCTTTGCGCCGCGTGTGGCGGAAGCGGCAATCGCGCGTCCGACGAAGGCGCAACTGAAGGCGGAGCTGGGGAAGCTGGCGGAGAGCGTGGCGAAGAAACACCGACGATACTCCAATTTTACGAGCACCGTCAACAAATATTTTGGCCTCGCATGTAAGTGGCTTTGGTTCTGTCGGTGTACTGAGTAACGCGCTGCTTTAGTATCGGATGTGCCTACGATATATCCCCAGTGGTCTGGTTTGCGAATTACACGAGCAGCGTCATCAAATATGAAGGGTTCGCGTTTGAGTGTAGTAACAGCTCTTGCGAGAAAACACTTATGAAACAAGTTGAATTTTTGCACGACTTTTGTTTGGAAATGCAAAATTGAAATTTGAAAAGAACAAGTTACTCCCACCCCAGCCAGCTCGAATCCCACTCTAATCCTTCCCTTTCCCCCTTTCCCCATCCCCCCTCCCTACAGCGAATTCGAAGTATGACCTATCTGCTCTCGCCAACGCGACCATCCTCATCCCCATTAATACTGAGTCAGAAGCCCTCCTTAAGAAGCTCCCCTTGAAAGGATCCAACATCCCCAAGTTCTACAGAATTACAGCATTCCACATCATACGCATGAAACGCTACATGCCGCAGCTTAAAGAGATGAAGCCAGGGCAGGCCGTGGGTACTCAATTAAAGCAGGCTCTCTATAAGAGGACTCCAGTAAATGTGCCAAGGGTGTCGTTCGCGAGCTCAATAACTGCGCGGGCAGTTACATGGACTACAATTTTTACCCCAAGGATGTACGCTGGGCCGTACTTCGTTGCGCATGGTGTTAGCAAAGTATTGATTCCGTTTGGCACCAAGGTGTGATGTGCTTGAGCACAGCAAAGAGTGATCTGTTTTTTGTAGCAACAGCTCATGTGCATGTATTGCGACTTTTTTTCTCTTTTCGGAGGGTGCCTAAAATCTGAAACGCCAGCACTGAGCAGCAACAGCAGCTTGCAATTCGAAGTGTACGCCTGTGATCCTACCCACCAGCTTGGTCGTGCTCTTACCATACATTTTCTCCAAGCAAGCTCTCTTCATACTTATTGGACTAAGTAGAAAGACATTCATCAATTCTAAGTGTACGTGGTCTCCTGCAGCACATCTATCCACCTTATTATGCTACTCGCTGTTACACAAATTTCGTCCATTGCTCTCTCGCCAGTCTCGTCAGGTTTCGCCACCGTTTGGCAAGGCAAATTGTCCCCGTCGTTTGGCATGGCCAGCACCTCAACCAGCACCGCACATTTGTCGGCGGGCAGCTTGTCGAAAATGCCAGAAACGTAAAGGTATTCTTTTTCCCAACACATACATCTCAACGGACAACCGAGATGCAAGGGCCCTAGCATTTGGGTGCCATCTTTGAGGGCGAATAAACGCATTCTTGAGTAAACATTTCATCGACGGTCCGAAAACAGGCCCCTCGCAGTGGCAGCACAGCCGTCAAGGCTCCCCCTTCTGCCGCCATGTCGGTCGGAGCAGAAAGGGCTCTGCTGAGCTGACCGACCAGCCGTATCACCCATTTCCAATGAGTGAAGGGCAGGGCACCCAGTCATGCCTCCTCCCCTCCCCACACACCCCACCACCACCATCCCTCCCAAGCTTCACACGAACAGCAAGCAAAGGAAGGTCGAACTCGAACAAAAGCAGAACCAGATCATTCTGTCCCTCTCCGACTGATCTTCCGCAGCGCTGCCCGCCCGACCCTTGTTGGCCGTCTGTAATGTCGCGTACAGTAGAATGGCGACTCGAACCAGGGAGAATTCTTTCGTGCGACGCGACGCGAGCGTCGCTGACAGCTGGTGGTGCTCGGCGCTGCGAGCGACGAAAGTCTCCCTAGTCAGCAGCGCAACCCCGCAGCGAAGAGTCCTGGAAGTGCGGGGCGGCACTGAGCATTCTTGCTTTTCACTGTAAACGAGACAGCCTGCGAATGTCGTCCGTAGTCGAAACGAGTTTTCAACCCTTACTGCGTTCGGACCTTCGAAACAGATAAACTCTTCACTCCTTTCCTGGTTTCTCGATACTTTCTGCGTACTCCCACGGTTGAATCGACTACTCGCTGTAAGCAGTATTCATAGTCATAGTCCGCTGGAGGGGAAGAAAACAGTTTTCCGCACTGATTAGACGATTAACTCCGTTTCGCGCTGATGGAAAAACGGGCTCTTATCGTTGTGGCTCTCGCAGCGCTCTTATGCCTAGCGCGATTCGCGCCGCGTGTTGCGGAGGCGGCAGTCGCGCGTCCGACGAAGGCGCAGCTGAAGGCGGAACTGGGGAGGCTGGCGGACAGCGTGGCGCGGAAATACCCGCAGTACTCGAGCTACACGAAGACGGTCAAGAAGTATATTGGCCTCGCGTGTGAGTGTACTAACGGAGTTGCGTTGTTCTAATATCGGACCTTGTTTCTTGAAATACCCGCAGACTGGAGCTACACGAAGACGGTCAAAAAGTATATCGGCCTCGCGTGTAAGTGTAGTTGGAGTTCTAATATGTTTACTCTCTATCAGAGTAGCGCGCCGCGCTAATATCGGAGCGTGGCGCAGAAATACCCGCAGTACTCGAGCTACACGAAGACGGTAAAAAAAATATGGGCCTTGTGTGTAAGTGTCGTCGAGTAACGTGCTGCCCTAATATCGAAGTGTGGCCCCGGAAACGCGGCGATTCTCGAATTCAGTAGATATAGGCCACGCGTGCGAGTGCGAGTGCCGTAACATCTCTCGCAGTGTGTTACAAGAGCGCTTTGTCTCCCCGCTTTACTCTCCATCACACCACAGCCAACACCCACACGACTCTCCCTCCCCCCCTACCCCCACCCCCTCCCCCAATTCCCCCTCACCATTTCCCAGTGAATTCCAGGTACGACCTATCAGCGCTCGCCAACGCGACCATCCTCATCCCCACTAACACCGAGGCTGAAGCCCTCCTTAAGAAGCTCCCCTTTAAGGCAGCCAACATTCCCAAAATCTACAACATCACCGCTTTCCACATCTTACGTATAAAACGCTTTCTGCCGCAGTTCAAAGCGCTGAAGCCAGGGCAGGCCGTGGGTACTCAATTGAAGCAGGCTCTTTACAATATGAATCCGTTAAACGGAGCAAGAGTGTCTTTTGGGAAGGCGAGAACTGCGCCGGCAGCTACATGGACTACGATTCTGACTCCGAGGATTTATACTGGGCCGTATTTTGTCGCACATGGCGTGAGCAAAATATTGATCCCGTCTGGCACCAGGGTGTGATGTGCTTGTAACGCAGTAAGTTGTGACTCGTGACGTGCATGGTTGTACCGCAGTAAGTTGTGACTCGTGACGTGCATGGTTGTACCGCAGTAAGTCGTGATGCCGTTGTATCTCGTATGGTTATACAGTAAGCTGCGACGTGCTATAGCTTAGCAAGGTGTAGAGAGCGAGTTTGATAGAGCGAGTACTACCATAGGCTGCCAATGATTCAATATATCGTTTTGTGCTCGTACCTTCCCTTGTATGCGTTGCCTCCAGCTGTTCTCAAGGTCTATCTGGTCACTGACCACTGGTAAGGCAAAATACCCCCTGAAGTTGAGAATCTACAAGAACACTAGGTCGCTTGTGGGCGTCTTTGCATGCCTCTCTACGAGATACCACTGGCAGGTACTCATGTATCGTTGTATGTCAGGCTCACAGTTGCAGCCAGACGTTGACTGCTTTTACAGTATGCCTGGGTGTAGAAATCCTGCATGCACTTCAACATGGTACAGTACAGTACATACCGTATCCTGGCAGAGAAGACTCCTCGACTCGACCTCAGTTAACTAAATCAACTGGTACTAGAGAACATTAAATTTCATGATTCTGTATCTCCCACCTCTACTCTAGCCATCTCGCTTTCCATCTCTGCCTGCTCAAAACGATCCAACAGCACACGTGGAGTCTTCTGAGCCTCAGCAGCAATTTCCCCTATCTCCTGCCCCCTCGCCCACCAAATAATCGACTCATCAACGCGAA